TTTTTGCCGACTTATGATTCTCCAAAGGACATTCCCTCCCATGGGCTATGAGGACATTTCCCGGCTTCCCAGCCCCGTGGGGATGAAGGGGAAGAGGAGAAGGGAACGTTTGTGGAGATAGTGCGGCCTGCTCTCTTCTTGCCGAAGGCAGGCTGGGCACGCTTGTGTGCTTGACATCCGCACCACCTTTACACCTTCACATCCTGTGGGAGGATCCCAGTTACTACAGGGCAGTAGGCTCAGCCCCACAGGAGGGCCACAGCAGCCCAGCCTCTGGCCTCCTACCCTCCTCCTTAGGCGACAGTAACAGGAAATGCTTCCCTCTGCGCTCTCCTTGATCCCAACTGGTAGCTGTATAATAGCTGAACTCATATCACCTCTCTCCCCAGGGCCAGAGGGCCCTTAGATGGAGGTAGCCCAGGACTGACTTCCTGAGTCCCCACCAGCAGGCCTTTTCCTTCTAGAGCTCTTTGCAGGAAGAGAAGGCTTTGCGCCAGCTCATGCTGGGTGTCATCCTTTGTGGAAGCCTCCCTGTTTCCTTTCTCTGATCTGCCGGGAGTCCCCTGTGTGTCCCAGTCTCTAGAGAGGGAGGCTTTGCTGGAGAGGTTCAAGCAGGAGAAAGCGGGAAACACAGAGGCCTCGAGGAGTGGACAGAAAGAGTATCATTTATAACTAACCTTTAGCCTTTAGCCACTCAAAAATATTTACTAATAGCCTAAGGGTTCTTGGCAGGTCTTTCTCCACATCAGCAAGAAACCTTAGGAGTTGGGAAGAGTCAGACCTTGTTCCCTGAGCAAGCTTTCTGCTTTGCCCAAGAGATGGTAGGAGATTAATTTCTCTCCTAAGGGCACAGGTGGGAGTGTTTGCTTCGTCTTGTCCTCTCTCCTCCTTTATAGATCATGATTCTTCCTGCTTGCCATTTTTTTTTTTTTTAAAGCAGGCCGGGTACGGTGGTTCACACCTGTAATCTTAGCACTTTGGGAGGCTGAGATAAGCAGATCACAAGGTCAGGAGTTCAAGACCAGCCTGACCAATATGGTGAGACCCTATCTCTACTAAAAATACAAAAATTTAGCTGGGCATGGTGTCGCGTGCCTGTAATCCCAGCTACTCAGGAGGCTGAGGCAGGAGAATCACTTGAACCTGGGAGGCAGGGTTGCAGTGAGCTAAGATCATACCACTGCACTCCAGCCTAGGTGGCAGAGCAAGACTTCATCTAAAAAAAAAAAAAAAAAAAGGCAGAAAAAAAAAAATCCCCAAAGAAAGCTTTTAGTGTCTCATCCAAACCAGAGGACTGTTGTGGGTAGTTTTTTTTCCTTTGGACCCGACATGGTGTCGGGAAGGTCATAAACTAGGTGGTTTTTTTCGTAGATTGTCCACTGATTTAACTTACTGTATGGTTTTGGCAGAATTCCAAATTCCTTCATTCCTGCCTCAACCTCAGCCTCTTCCTCTAAGAAAGGGACCTCAGCTTCTTCCCCACAGTCTCTGTCGCGCTGGCGAGGTGCTGAGTCGGTGGTTAACCCCGGGGAGACTTGACAGATTGCTCCTCTAAACCGAAGTAAAGGTGAAGGGTCAGGACTGTGGGTTGAACATCAACCTCTTATCCTGGGCTTTTGCTCCTGCCTCCGATTTTGTTTTTTTCTGACCATCTGGCAAACTCTTGGAGCCCCCATCCCAGGCAGGAAGGCTGCTGAGTCCACACAGCTTATCTCTGTGGCCTCGCTGCTCCACGATTCTTGGAGTCGGCACCACCAGTTCTCTTTCAGGCCACAAATCCCCACACGTTTCTTGTCTGGGAGTGCCTGGCAAAGTCAGGGTAAAGGTTTCTGCTTGGGTCTGACATTTTCAAACTTGGCGGATGGTTGGATTGCAGAGAAGCACTCAGGCCATTTTTCGAATTTATTGAATTAGGCTCGTGAAAGGCTGAGCAGTCCCGGGCAGTCCCCAGCTGATTGAGATGCAAATTGGTCAGCTTTTTCGCCTGAACCTGTTGAAGGGTTCTTAGAACTCTTTCTCAGGACTCCAGCCAGAATCTGGAGGATTCAGGCGCGATGTTGGCTCCAGTGTGGGGCAGTGGCAGAAGGAAGGAGACAGCTCATTTCTCCGCTCCCCTCCGTTTCTTCTTCCTTGCCCACTGGGAGAGGTGGCAGGTGGGGTCTGCAGACCTGGGTGCGGGCCGTTGACGACGGGCTTTGCACGACATCCAATAGGTGCTGGTGCTGGGCGCCTCCCTAGGCCCCTGGAGAGGGTGGGAGACCTACTGGGTTCTCAGCCCCAGAAGTGGGGCTTTCCCAGAGCTGTGTCCTTTTTGCCTCTGGGATGGTGCCCAGCCCTTCCCTCCTTTCGTCTGTGGTCCAGTGGCCCACTTCAGGAGGGTCAGGGTGGGCTTGCAGTGCTGCAGCTACCTGTGGATGGTTTCTTTTTGAGACAGGGTCTCACTCTGCTGCCCAGGCTGGAATGTGTGGTGCAGTCACAGCTCACCGCGGCCTTGACTCCTGGGCTCAAGTGATCCTCCCACCTCAGCTCCTGAGTAATGGGACTACAAGTGGGTGCCACCAACCCAGCTAATTTTTTTTTATACTTTTTTTTTTCTTTTTTAAGACGGGGTTTCACCCTGTTGGTCAGGCTGGTTTTGAACTCCCGACCTCAGGTGATCCACCTGCCTTGGCCTCCAAAGTGTTTGGATTACCGGCGTGAGCCACCACGCCCGGCCTCCAGCTAATTTTTGAATTTGTTTTTTTGTAGAGACAGGGTCTCACCATCTTGCCCAGGCTGGTCTCCTGGGCCCAAGCAGTCCTCCCACCGCAGCTGCCCAAAGTGCTGGGCCTACGGGCATGAGCTACTATACCTAGTTAGGTTTAGTGTTTTTTTGTTTTTTTTTTCAAGACAGAGTCACACTCTGTTGCCCAGGCTTCAGTACAATGGCGTGATCTCGGCTCACTGCAACCTCTGCCTCTCAGGTTCAAGCAATTCTCCTGCCTCAGTCTCCTGAGAAGCTGGGCTTATAGGCGCCCACCACCACACCTGGCTAATTTTTGTATTTTTTAGTAGAGACAGGGTTTCACCATATTGGTCAGGCTGGTCTTGAACTCCTGACCTCAGGTGATCCACCTGCCTTGGCCTCCTGAAGTGCTGGGATTACAGGCGTGAGCCACCGAGCCCGATCAAATTTTTTGTAGAGATAGGGGTTTCACCATGTTGGTCAGGCTGGTCTCCAACTCCTGGGCTCAAATGATCCTCCAGCCTCAGCCTCTGAAAGTGCTGGAACTACAGGTGCGGGCCACCATATCCTGCTAATTTTTAAATGTTTTGTAGAGATAGGGGGTTTCAGCATGTTGCCCAGGCTGCTCTTCAACTTCTGGCTCAGTCGATCTGTCTGCCTCTGGCTCCCAGATGCTGGGATTACAGGCGTGAGCTACCGTTCCTGGCCTGTGTGTGGATATTGAATCCCCTCTTTCTGGTAACCTAAATATTCAGTAAAGATTGATGAAGGTGCCATGCTGGGGGTGCAGAGCAAACACGCACACCTGTGTAATTCCAGGTGGTGGTCCGGCCCCAAGAAAGCAGGGTGCCAGGAGCTGGAACAGCAGCAGGGGTCTGATTTCCCCCGGGTGGGAGGACCTCTCTGCATTCAGGTGGAAGCCTGGAGGTTGAGAAGGGGTGAGTCAGGAGAGGAGGATTTACCCTGGAGGAGGGAGAGAAGTGGAAAGGGGTTGGGCCTGCGAGGCCTGGGAGGCCTTCTGGGGAAACTGGATTTTATTCCCAAGGCAGAAGGAAACCGGGGAGGTGGAGGAGGGCGATGGTCCTGTTCCCCTGTTAGAGGCTCAAGTGAATTGCTGACAGCTTGCCACATGCTGGGGCGTGGGCGCTGTAGAAAGCAGAAGTCATCAAGCCCCTGCCCGTAAAAGGCACTCACGGTCTGACCATAGTTTTATGCTCTTTACCGCTGCTGCTCTGCCTGTGGTTCGGGGAGAGAGTCTGGCGCAGGGGTCCCCGTGAGGGCAGAGGGGCTGCCGCCTGCACTGGGGACACAGGGCCACGCTCGATCCCCATGGGCTGAGTGAAGCTGTGGATGTTGACAGGAGACTTCTCTGCTGGTTAGAGGACCTCTTTATTTTTTTGGCCGGCAGGGAGACGATTTGGCTCTTGTCACCCTGACTGGAGTGCAGTGGCGTGATCTCGGCTCACTGTAACCTCTGCCTCCAAGGTTCAAGTGATTTTCCTACCTCAACCTCCCAAGTAGCTGGGATTACAGGCTCCGTCACCACACCTGGCTGATTTTTTTGTATTTGTATTTGTATTTTTTTTTTTTTTGAGGCGGAGTTTTACTCTTGTTACCCAGGCTGGAGTGCAATGACGCGATCTCGGCTCACCGCAACCTCTGCCTCCTGGGTTCAGGCAATTCTCCTGCCTCAGCCTCCTGAGTAGCTGAGATTACAGGCACGAGCCACCATGCCCGGCTAAGTTTATATTTTTAGTAGAGATGGGGTTTCTCCATGTTGGTCAGCCTGGTCTCGAAATCCTGACCTCAGGTGATCTGCCCACCTCAGCCTCCCAAAGTGCTGAGATTACAGGCTTAAGCCACCACGCCTAGCAATTTTTTTTTTTTTTTTGGCAAGGAGTCTCTGTCACCAGGCTGGAGTACAGTGGCGAAATCTCAGTTCACTGCAACTTCCGCCTCTGGGTTCAAGTGATTCTTCTGCCTCAGCCTCCTGAGTAGCTGGGATTACAGGTGCCTCCACCACATCCAGCTAATTTTTGTATTTTTAGTAGAGAGGGAGTTTCACTATGTTGGCCAGGCTAGTCTTGAACTCCTGACCTCAGGTGATCTGTCTGCCTCGGCCTCCTGAAGTGCTGGGATTACAGGCGTGAGCCATCACACCCGGCCCAAGAACTTCTCTTTTTCGTGTCTCTCCCCACACCCACAGGCCAGTGTGGATAGCTTTCTTAAATTCAGCCTTTCATTTTTATTACTGTAAATATAACTTTTAAACTTTTCCCCCAGTTTATTTGGAATTTAAAAAATTCCTTAGAAATGGGGAAGAAGGTTGAAAGGCTGGGCCTCCGCATGTGTCTCAAGGAAGAGCTCGCCCTTGGCCTCTCACATCCCAGCCTCCCTCCTCGGTTTGTGACCTGATTTCCCTCACAGGTGCCCCTCGGGCACCCCGGCATCTTGGTTTCCGTGAAGGTCCCATCCGGCTCAGGCTGGCTCTTGGGGTGTCGCGGGAGGCTCTTGGTGCTGTTCTCGCCCAGCAAGGTTCAGGCTTCCTGCCCGACACCGCAGGCAGCCTTTTCCTGGCTGTGCTCTCAGCATCTTCTCTCTGGGATACCAGCCTCTCCCTGGGTAGGCCAGCATTGGCACGGAGCTTCGGGGTCTGGCGGCCTGCAATGAAGCCAGCTTCCCCAGGGGCCCTCCAGGAGACCTCCACAAGTGACTCACCTGCCCTGAGCGTCCTTCGGGGATACCCTGACTGTGTCCTCATGGGGACTATGGGGTGCACATGGGCTCACCCGTTGAGCGCCCAGCCGGCACACACTGGTACTCCGCATGTGGCATCTGCTGCTAGGCCCACCTGCTTCTCGGGGACCAGGCCTGGTCCGTCCAGCACCGCCTCCGCTTGCCTGTGCCCTCCTGCGTGTGGTGTGCTGTGTGCCTGAGCTGACCTCTCACCTACATGTGCCCTGCCGGCTGAGGATGGAGATGGGGTTTCCTGCCGGATGGACTAAGATTCCAGGAACGGGAGGGATCGGGGGTGACGGGGGATGCTGGGAGGTCCGGGCGGGGGTGCAGCCTGGAGCGGGGGCTCTGGAAGCAGCCAGTCAGGCAAGAGCAGCTCAGGAACTTGGAGGAGACCTCAAGCCAGGTATTCCTTGGTCCCCGAAAGTCTCATGTTGGAGGCCCCCCTTTCCTTTGTCTCCCTGGGGTGTGGGGAGGCTCCTCTTTGACTCAGGGGAGCCTGGGCGGGGTCACAGCACCCTCTCTTCTCCCTGATTCCTCCATAAACACACAGGTGCATCTCCTGTGAGTGGGCGGGCAGTGCCCCGCCTCCCTGCCCAGCTCTCCTCGTGAGCAGCCCTGCTCCTGTTCTTGGCACCCGCTGACCACTGCAGCTGTTGCCCGTCCCCTCGGTTCACCTTCCCTGGCTGGGCTGGGCCACTTTGGCCGCCCCCAAGGAGGCATCTGTTGAATAAACAGGTGCAGGTGAGGAGCGCAGCAGGCTGGCCCAGGGTGAGCCCCAAGCTCCAGGCTGGAAGCAGAGGGGCATCCCAGGCCTTGGCACTTCCTGGGTGTTTAATCTGTTTGTCTCTCTCCTGACCCACAGTGCCCAGGTGGGAGCAGAGGGAGAGGAGCAGCCTGGGTGTGACTGTGTGTGGCCATCTGCTGGGACTGTATGGGCTGTTACTGTCAACAAAGCTGCTCGGCTCACCAAGGGTTTTGTTCCCTCCAGGAGCAGGGAGACTCTCAATTGCTCTATAAGCACGAGAAGCCACTCACCTCCCGCTGGCCCACCCAGAAGCATCTGTGGCTGGACAGGACTGCCTGGAGGCAGGAGGCAGGCAGGGGGCCTGCTGGCCACATGGGAGGGATTTGTTTAAGGGGAGAAGGATGGTGGTCTAGAATGTGAGGTCCCTGCGCCTGTGTGTGGTGGCTCCAGGGTAAAGATGGGAAGGACAGATACCATCACCTCTCCCCTATGCAGTTAAAGGGGTGACCAGATCTCTAATCAATTTAAGACATTTTTATTGTTGTTTGTTTGTTTTGACACGGAGTGCAATGGCTCCATCACAGCTCACTGCAACCTGCACCTCCCGGGTTCAAGCGATTCTTCTGCCTCAGCCTCCTGAGTAGCTGGGATTACAGGGGCACACCACCATGTCCAGCTAAATTTTATATTTTTAGTAGAGATGGGATTTCACCATGATGACTCCTGACTGGTCTCGAACTCCTGACCTCAGGTGATCTGGCCTTAAGACGTTTTACCCCAACCTTGCTGCTGGCAAATCAAGGAGGCTGGCCAGGCGTGGTGGCTCAGGCCTGTCATCCTAGCACTTTGGGAGGCTGAGGTGGGTGGCTCACCTGAAGTCAGAAGTTCAAGACCAGCCTGGCCATCATGGTGAAACCCCACCTTTTTTTTTTGAGACGGAGTTTCGCTCATTACCAAGGCTGAAGTGCAATGGCGCCATCTCGGCTGACCGCAACCTCTGCCTCCTGGGTTCAGGCAATTATCTTGCCTCAGCCTCCTGAGCAGCTGGGATTACAGGTACGTACCACCATGCCCAGCTAGTTTTTTGTATTTTTAGTAGAGACAGGGTTTCACCAGGTTAACCAGGATGGTCTCGATCTCTTGACCTCGTGATCCACCCACCTCAGCCTCCCAAGAAACACCATCTTTAAAAAAAAAAAGTCAAGGAGGCTGCCTTGGGTACAGAGCCTTGGGATTTTTACCTTCTGGCTCTAGATGAGAAAATCCATGGGTTTAGGGACCCAGCTGTGGCTCCTCCCTGGGGTAACTGGAGGTCCCCATGCCTTTGCTCCTGGGCGGTGCCGCCTCCAGACCCTGCATGGCCCCACAGGCCCCCCTCCCGGGCCCTGAAGCACCCTCTCCAGCTGTCCCCTCCGTCTCCTTAGCGCCAGTTTGCTCCTCTCTGCATGTCCTCCTGGAAATGACTGTTGCTCTGTAGAGACTCTGTTCTCCCCACTTCAGAGCCAATTCCTGTTGCTGCTGGCTTGAGGACCCTGCTTGCCACATGCTTTGGCTGACAGTGTAGGGGGCTTCTTTTGGAAAACGGAGAGAAACTGGCAGAGCGGGGAGTCAGGTTGTGAGGTTTTGTTTATACAGCTCTGAGTGGTTCACCTTGTGGCTCTGATCTCCTTAAATCCCCCGAGATTCAGCTTGGTTCTGTTGATTCCTCTCTTGATCCTTTGCCTTTTGGCCATTGTGATCTGGTTTCACTTTTGGTTTTGCTTTTTTTTTGAGACGGGGTGTCACTTTGTCACCCAGGCTGGAGTGCAGTGGTGCAATCTTGGCTCATTGCAACCTCCGCCTCCCCAGTTCAAGTAATTCTCCTGCTTCAACCTCCCCAGTAGCTGGGACTACAGGTGCACACCTGGCTAATTTTTGTTTGTTTGTTTGTTTGTTTTTTGAGACGGAGTTTCGCTCTTGTTACCCAGGCTGGAGTGCAATGGCGCGATCTCGGCCCACCACAACCTCCGCCTCCTGGGTTCAGGCAATTCTTCCGCCTCAGCCTCCTGAGTAATTGGGATTACAGGCACGCGCCACCATGCCCAGCTAATTTTTTGTATTTTTAGTAGAGATGGGGTTTCACCATGTTGACCAGGATGGTCTTGATCTCTTGACCTTGTGATCCACCCGCCTCGGCCTCCCAAAGTGCTGGGATTACAGGCGTGAGCCACAGCACCCGGCTAATTTTTGTATTTTTAGTAGAGATGGAGTTTCTTCGTGTTGGCCAGGCTGGTCTTGAACTCCCGACCTCAGGTGACCTGCCTGCCTCGGCCTACCAGAGTGCTGGGATTACGGGTGCCCACCACCACCATGCCCAGCTAATTTTTGTATTTTTAGTAGAGATGGAGTTTCTTCGTGTTGGCCAGGCTGGTCTTGAACTCCTGACCCCAGGTGACCTGCCCACCTTGGCCTTCCAGAGTGCTGGGATTATAGATATGAATTACCACCACGCCCAGCTAATTTTTGTATTTTTATTATTTTTTAAAATTTTTATTTATTTATTTATTTTTGAGACAGAGTTTTGCTCTTGTTACCCAGGCTGGAGTGCAATGGCGCGATCTCGGCTCACTGCAACCTCTGCCTCCTGGGTTCAGGCAATTCTCTTGCCTCAGCCTCCTGAGTAGCTGGGATTACAGGCATGTGCCACCATGCCCAGCTAATTTTTTGTATTTTTAGTAGAGACGGGGTTTCACCATGTTGACCAGGATGGTCTCGATCTCTTGACCTCATGATCCGCCCGCCTTGGCCTCCCAAAGTGCTGGGGTGACAGGCAGGAGCTGCCGCGCCCTGCCTTTATTGGGTTCTTTCTATACCTAGGTGAGCTCCAGAAGGTTTTCTGGATTTTCTCTTGTTTTTTTTTTATTTTTTTTCCGTTGTCTTTGGTTTTCTGGATTTTCTCATGGATCTTCCCCTAAACTCCAGGAGGTGGATTTATTATACAATTCCATTTTGTGGATGAGGAAACCGAGCCAGAGCAAGGTCATGTCGGTAGAAAGCGGAGGAACCAAAATTGGAACCTGGAAGCCAGATTCCAGCACCACGTTCTCCATCCACCTGACCCCGGATGGACTCCCTGGTCACACACTGGCACGAGACCCAATTCCACACCCTGTGCATCCCTTCCAGTGACCTTAGGACAGCCCCGAGAGGCCTGAGCAAGCCTTTGCAAACCTCAGCTCCACGGCCTTGGCGCCAGAGGGCTGCAGTTGGAAGGCAGGCAGTTATCTGGAGAAAAGCGTTTCCTTCACTCTCCCAGTGTGACCTCGCATCTAATCAAAGTCTGCTCCTGTTTTCTGCAGGATTAGTCAGCATCTGTTAACTCGCAGTCCCGGCAAGGAGAGCTCCTCAGCCACACTCCCGGCCCATCCTTCGCCCTCCTGCCCTCTGCTGCCACAGCACTTTTCTCTTCCTTTTTGTGCTGTTGGGTGGCTGGGTGGACTTTGGAGGGGGCCATTAAGGGCTGGGTGTGTCAGACACACCAGACTTAGAGGCTCAGCACGCAGTGGGGTCTGGATGTGGGCATAGGATGGCAACACAGTGACCCCAACAAGGAAAATTAGAAAGGTGCATCTTGGCCGGGCGCTGCAGCTCATGCCTGTAATCCCAGCAGTTTCGGAGGCTGAGGTGGGCAGATCACCTGAGGTTAGGAGTTCAAGACCAGCCTGGCCAACATGTTGAAACCCTGTCTCCACTAAAAATACAAAAATTAGCTGAGCGTGGTGGCGGGTGCCTGTAGTCTCAGCTACTGGGGAGGCTGAGGCACCTGAACCTGGGAGACAGAGGTTGCAGTGAGTCAAGATCGTGCCACTGCACTCCAGCCTGGGTGACAGAGGTGAGACTCCGTCTTCAAAGGAAAAAAAAAGGGAGAGGTGCGTCTCAGTGAGTGAAAGCAAATAACACAGGATGATTTAAAAAACCAAAACTTGGCCGGGCGCGGTGGCTCACGCCTATAATTCCAGTACTTTGGGAGGCAGAGGCAGGTGGATCACAAGTTCAACAGATCGAGACCATCCTGGTCAACATGGTGAAACCCCGTCTCTACTAAAAAAAATACAGAAAATCAGCTAGGCATGGTGGTGCGTGCCTGTAATGCCAGCTACTAAGGAGGCTGAGGCAGGAGAATTGCTTGAACCGAGGAGGCGGAGGTTGCAGTGAGCCAAGATCGCGTCATTGCACTCCAGCCTGGGTAACAAGAGCGAAACTCCATCTCAAAAATAAATAAATAAAAAATAAAAAACCAAAACTTGGCCGGGCACAGTGGCTCACACCTGTAATCCCAGCACTTTGGGAGGCCGAGGTGGGTGGATCACGAGGTCAAGGAATGGAGACCATCCTGGTCAACATGGTGAAACCCCGTCTCTACTAAAAATACAAAAAATTAGCTGGGTGTGGTGGCGCGTGCCTGTAATCCCAGCTCCTCAGGAGGCTGAGGCAGGAGAACTACCTGAACCCAGGAGGCGGAGGTTGCGGTGAGCCAAGATCGCGCCATTGCACTCCAGCCTGGGTAACAAGTGAAACTCCGTCTCAAAAAAAAAAAAAAAAAAAAAAAAAAAACCAAAACTTTCCAAAGTGGTTATAAGACACAGTTCATGTGGTGTTTGATGCTATGAAAATTTTAGGGGCAGAAGGTGGCATCTGTCTGTTCTTCTGCATTTGTGAAGGCCATTGGGCTCACCATTGAAGGAGGTGCCTCAGTCTCCCCACCCTGACAGGAGGACCAGGGTATTGGGGTACAGCAGCAGCTTGTCCGTCCAGGTGGTCTGGCGTCTGCCCGCCTGCTGGCTGCAGTCTGTCCCAGGGATACAGCTGCAGTGAGGAGCTCCCAGCCAAGGCTGAGGCCCTGCCCTGAGGTCTGCCGTTCAGGGTGGAGGATGCACTAGAACAGCTGGAACAGGGCTTTCAACCTGGGCTTCGTCGCTCTTTGAGGTACACACGAAGTTGCTGAAATTGGGGATAAACCTTGGTGTGCATTTCCTGGGTCTCTACTGAATTCTTCAAAGGGCCCATGGCCCCCAAAGAAGTTATTTTCACTCCAGGGACTTGGGCCAAATGGCCATCCAAGCCTGCTGTGAGGTAGCCTGAGCCCTGGCAAGTCCCTGAGCCAGCCCTGGCATTCCCAGTGGGGGGCTCTGAGTGGGCACCTGTCCCTGCTGTGACCCTGAGGTCAGGGTTTCCTTCCCTCTTCACACAGAGAATGTCACCAATGGCACAGTGGGTGGCACAACAGAGCCGGGGCATGAGGACGTGAGCTGGATGAATGGCTGGGTCAGCTGCCAGGCCCAGGACGAGATGCTGAACTTGGCCTTCACCGTGGGCTCCTTTCTGCTCAGTGCCATCACCCTGCCCCTGGGCATCGTCATGGACAAGTATGGCCCGAGGAAGCTCCGGCTACTGGGCAGGTCAGTGCGGGTCCCAGGGGGGCAGGGAGTGGGCAGGTGCGCCCGTGGGCTGAACTCCACACCGAAGGGTATCCTGGTCGTGCCTGCTTCAGGTGTGCTGTGGGGCTCCGTAAAGGCCCATCCAGAGTGGAGTTCCTACCCTGTCACCCACTGGGTGCCAGGTACTGTGGTCCTCGCTGTGTTCCTGTGCTGAATAAGAAAAGTGCCAGGCTTTGGGCTGGCTGGGGGTATCTGGAGTTGCTTGGCATTAGGAACATGGGTTTCTGATCTCTTTCTACTTCAGAAGTGTGACCACTGGGGATTCACTCTCACGTGTGAGATGTGTTTCCCTCAAACCTAGTTCTGAGGCTGGCGCAGTATCCATCTGATGCAGAAACAGCAACACTGCTTTCCTCCCTCTACCAGAGAGATTTTCAACATGTACCCCAATATAATAAGCACTTGGAATTATAAATGATCTATGCCATTCTTTTTCATCCCCCCCATCCCGAGATGGAGTTTCATTCTGTCGCCCAGGCTGGAGTGCAGGGGTGTGATCTCGGCTCACTGCATCCTCCGCCTCCTGGGTTCAAGCGATTCGCCTGCCTCTGCCTCCCGAGTAGCTGGGATTACAAGCGCCCTCCACCACATCCAGCTAATTTTTGTATTTTTAGTAGAGAGGGGTGTCACCACGTTAGCCAGGCTGGTCTCGAACTCCTGACCTCATGATCTACCCACCTTGGCCTCCCAAAGTGTTGGAATGACAGGCATGAGCCACCACGCCCAGCTCCTCCGTGCCTTTTTTTTGAGACACAGTTTTGCTCCTGTCCCCCAGGCTGGAGTGCAATGGCGAAATGTCAGCTCATTGCAATCTCCACCTCCCAGGTTCAAGCGGTTATCCTGCCTCAGCCTCCCAAGTAGCTGGAATTACAGGCACACGCCACCACGCCCAGCTAATTTTTTGTGTTATTATTATTTTTGAGATGGAGTCGCCCAGGCTGGAGTGCAGTGGCGCAATTTCCACGTACTGCAACCTCTGTTGCCCAGGTTCAAGTGATTCTCCTGCCTCAGCTTCCTGAGTAGCTGGAATTACAGGTGCCTGCCACCATGCTTGGCTAATTTTTGTATTTTTAGTAGAGACGGGGTTTTACCATGTTGGTCAGGCTGGTCTCAAACTTCTGATTTCAGGTGATCCACCCGCCTGGACCTCCCAAAGTGCTGGGATTATAGAGCCTGGCAGGGCCTCCTAAGCTGCACAAGATGATTCTCTAAAAAAATTTTTTCTTGGAGACAAGGTCTCACTATGTGGCTTAGGCTAGTCTTGAACTCCTGGCCTCAAGTGATTTTTTTCCCCTTGTCTTCCCAAAGTGCTGAGATTACAGGTGTGAGCCACCATGTCCAGATAATTTTTGTTTTTTAATGAGATTTATGTTTCTCATCAGTAAATTGGGGCCAATTATTCTCCTTAGAATTGTTCAATTAGGCTGGGTACAGTGGCTCAAGCCTGTAATCCCAGCACTTTGGGAGGCTGAGGCAGGTGGATCACGAGGTCAAGAGATCGAGACCATCCTGGTCAACATGGTGAAACCCTGTCTCTACTAAAAATACAAAAAAAAAAAATTACCTGGGCATGGTGGGCTGAGATCACGCCATTGCACTCCAGCCTAGGTAATGAGCGAAACTCCGTCTCAAAAAAAAAAAACAAAAAAAAGAATTGTTCAATTAGATGAAATAATGCATGTAAATGTTCTGCAAGCATCTGACACAGTACACACCCCAAAGTGACACTGACGTTAATGGTAACACTGACTATTATGGGCACGGTGGCTCACACCTGTAATCCCAGCACTTTGGAAGGCTGAGGTGGGTGGATCACCTGGGGTCAGGAGTTCGAGATAAGCCTGACCAACAATGGTGAAACCCCGTCTCTACTAAAAATACAAAACTTAGATGGGCATGGCGGTGTGCACCTGTAATCCCAGCTACAAAGGAAGCTGAGACAGGAGACTCACTTGAACCCGGGAGGTGGAGGTTGCAATGAACTGGTGTCACACCATTGCACTCCAGCCTGGGTGACAGAGCGAGGCTCCATCTCAAAACAAACAAAAAACAGAAAAATAAAGTTGTTTAAAAAAAACACTTAATAAAGTCGTAATGGTGAGTGACATCCCTCCCATTCTGCTTGGTTTTAGTGCCTGCTTTGCTGTCTCCTGCTTGTTGATCGCGTACGGAGCAAGCAACCCGAACTGTGAGTGTCATCTTCCTCCATCTTTGTCAGGGACTGGGGAGAGAGTGCCCCAAGCTGCCCCCGGGCCCCCTGCTCTTGGACTTGGTACTGGGTCTGGCGCTCCCTGCTCAAGTTAGAGGGGTACCTATTAGGCCTTTCCTCAGTCACTTATCTCAAATGGATGGCCGGGTCAGAGAGCAGCCACCCCAGAGAGAAGCTCCCAGGGTAAACACAGCTTCATCTCATCACCAAACCAAGCCAGTCCCTCACTGATGCCAACCGGGAGGCCAATTTTTTTTTTTTTTTTTTTTGAGTTGGAGTTTTGCTGTTGTTACCCAGACTGGAGTGCAATGGCAAGATCTTGGCTCACCGCAACCACCGCCTTCTGGGTTCGAGCAATTCTCCTGCCTCAGCCTCCCGAGTAGCTGGGACTATAGGCGCGCACCACCATGCCCAGCTAATTTTTGTCTTTTTAGTAGAGATGGGCTTTCACCTTGTTGACCAGGATGGTCTCAATATCTTGACCTCGTGATCCACCTGCCTCGGCCTCCCAAAGTGCTGGGATTATAGTCATGAGCCACCGTGCCCGGCTTTTTTTTTTTTTTTTGACATACTCTTGCTTTGTCACCCAGGCTGGAGTGCAATAGTGCAATCTCGGCTCATTGCAACTACTGCCTCCCAGGTTCAAGTGATTCTGCCTCAGTCTCCCAAGTAGCTGGGATTACAGGCACCTGCCACCACGCCCAGCTAATTTTGTGTATTTTTAGTAGAGATGGGGTTTGACCATGTTGGCCAGGCTGGTCTCAAACTCCTGACATCATTTGATCTGCCTGCCTCAGCCCCGCAAAGTGCTGGGATTAGAGGTGTGAGCCTCCTCGCCCGGCCGAGGCGAGTTCTAAGAACCAGGTTGGCCACAGGGGCATGGTCCTCGGTGTGTGCAGAAGTCACAAGCTGAGTTCCCTCCAGGCAGCACAGGCCACAGCATTAAGGATGACTTAGAAGCCACCTGGTCCACAGCCCTGCTCAGGTAGAGCCGTTGTTTTAAGGACTTGTAGAGCAGACACCAAAAAAGGACTTGAGTTTCCCCAAAATCTCAGCTATGCTCATCTGCTGATTTTCAGGCACCTCTGTTTTGGATTCAGTTAAATAGCTTCTTTAAGGCCTCTGCTTGCTGCTGATGTTGTTTTGTTTTTCAAGTTGACAGGTGAAACTAATGTTTGTTTTTGTTGTTTTGTTTTGTTTTAGAGACAGGATCTCGCTCTGTCGCCCAGGCTGGAGCGCAGTCATGCATCACAGCTCACTATGCCCTGGACCTCCCGGGCTCTAGTGATCCTCCCACCTCAGCCTCCAGAACTGCTGGGACTGCAGGCACACACCACTGCACCTGGCTCATTTTTAATAGAGAGGAGATCTTACTTTGTTGCCCAGGCTGGTCTTTAACTCCTGGGCTCAAGCGATTCTCCAGCTTCAGCCTCCCAAAGTGTTGGGATTCTAGGTGTGAGCACTGCACCTGGCCACTGCTAATGTTAATTGGAGAGAAGATGATGGGGTGCCCCTTTTGCAAGAGCCCAGGCTATGTGAAATAGGCAAGCGGAGGTCAAGTGTGGTGGCTCATGCCTGTAATCACAGCAGCACTTTGGGAGGCTGAGGTGGGCAGATCACCTGAGGTTGGGAGTTCAAGAACAGCCTGCCAACATGGTGAGACATACAAAAGTTAGTTGGGCATGGTGGTGCATGCCTGTAGTCCCAGCTAGTTGAGAGGCTGAGGGAGGAGAACTACTTGAACCCAGGAGGCAGAGGTTACAGTGAGCCACAGTTGCACCAATACATTCCAGCCTGGGCAACAAGAGCGAAACTCCATCTCAGAAAAAAGAATCCAGGTGCAGTGTTCATGCCTGTAATCCCAGCACTTTGGGAGGTCGAGGCAGGTGGGTCAGGAGGTCAAGAGATCGAGACAATTCTGGCCAACATGGTGAAACCCTGTCTCTACTAAAAATATAACAAATTAGCTGGGCATTATGGCCCATGAATGAAGTCCCAGCTACTCAGGAGGCTGAGGCAGAAGAATCGCTTGAACCTGGGAGCCAGAGGCTGCAGTGAGCCGAGGCTGTCCCACTGCATTCCAGCCTGGGCGACAACGAAAGACTCTGTCTCCGCCCCCTTCCCCCCCCCCCCCCCCCCCCCCCCCCGCCGCAACCCCCACCAAAAAAAAATAGGCAAGACGAGGGGAGTGAGAAAGAGGCGGTTCCCTCCCCAGGTGTCAACACTAACCCCCGCCTGCCTCGCTGGGTTTCCTGGAGCCTGCACCACTCAGGACTCTAGGCCGGATCTGCTTCCCAGGTGCTCGGCCGGGGTTTCCACTGACTCACGAGCTTCGCATCTCCCCACAGCCCTCTCGGTGCTCATCTTCATTGCCCTGGCTCTGAATGGCTTTGGTGGGATGTGTATGACCTTCACCTCATTAACAGTGAGTACGGACTTCTTAAAGCTCTCTAGTTCAGTAATCTGCTTCTATGTTTGAGGCTGCTGTGATTGTTTCTACGTCCTTGCTTTCCATTTGCCTGCATGTGCCTGGGTGTCCCCAACAGTACAGGGGCTTGGGTGACGTGTTCTGGCCACAGAACACAGCAGGGCCTCCCAAACTGAGGTCCTACAGGCAGCAGGGCATGGCTCTCACCATCCCCTGCCTTCCTTTTTTTTGTTAAGACAGAGTCTCCCTGTGTCACCCAGGCTGGAGTGCAGTTGCACGATCTCAGCCTACTGCAACCTCTGCCTCCCGGGTTCAGAAGATTCTCCTGCCTCAACTTCCCGAGTAGCTGGGATTACAGGCACCCACCACCACGCCCAGCTAATTTTTTTTTTTTCTTTTGAGACGGAGTTTCGCTGTTGTTACCCAGACTGGAGTGCAATGGCACGATCTCAGCTCACCGAAACCTCTGCCTCCTGGGTTCAAGCAATTCTCCTGCCTCAGCCTCCCGAGTAGCTGGAACTACAGGCGTGTGCCACCATGCCCAGCTAATTTTTGTATTTTTTTTTTTTTTTTTTGAGACGGAATTTCGCTCTTGTTACCCAGGCTGGAGTGCAATGGCGCGATCTCGGCTCACCGCAACCTCCGCCCCCTGGGTTCAGGCAATTCTCCTGCCTCAGCCTCCTGAGTAGCTGGGATTACAGGCACGCGCCACCATGCCCAGCTAATTTTTTGTAATTTTTAGTAGAGACGGGGTTTCACCATGTTGACCAGGATGGTCCCGATCTGTTGACCTCGTGATCCACCCGCCTCGGCCTCCCAAAGTGCTGGGATTACAGGCTTGAGCCACCGCGCCCGGCCAATTTTTGTATTTTTAGTAGAGACGGGGTTTCACCTTGTTGACCAGGATGGTCTCGATCTCTTGACCTCGTGATCCACCCCTCTTGGACTCCCAAAGTGCTGGGATGACAGGTGTGGGCCTGTGTGCCCGGCTGACATTCTCTGCCTCTGATCAGGGCTTTGAAGCTGTGTGCCCAAGGAAGGCAGAAGCAGGAAAACAAGATGCTGCCGCCCACTTTCTTTTCCTGTTTTCCACGGCAGCTGTCACCGGGGCCTCTGGGAGCTTGGGCTCATAGAGCAGCCTCCACACAGACCTCCCATGGAACTGCCCAGCCCCAGCCTTTGCCTTTGTCCGGAGCCCAATGGGAAACTCAGGGGACACCTGGGCTTCTGCTCTTCCTGGTTTCCTGAGTGCCAGGGCACAGCCAGCTGTCTGGGAAGGGAGATGTCTCCTCGGGTGCTGAGTACCCCCTCATTGAGAGCATCAGGATGTCACAAAATGTGCGTCTTCTTGAAGTTGGGGAGGCAGAAGAAAGGTATGGGTTGGAAGAAAGAAAGTCAACAAAGGGGCCAGTGCGGTGGCTCACGCCTGAAATCCCAGCACGTTGGGAGGTCGAGGCAGGCAGATCACTTGAGGTCAGGCGTTCGAGATCGGCCTGGCTCACATGGCGAAACTGTCTCTACTAAAAAATAAAAAAATCGCCGTGTGGTGGTAGGCACCTGTAATCCCAGCTCCTCGACGGCTGAGGTGGGAGAACCCAGGAGGCGGAGGTTGCCACGAGCCGAGATTGCACCTCTGCACTCCAGCCTGGGTGTCAGAGCGAGCCTCTTTCTCAAAAAAAAGAAAGTCAAAAAAGGAACAAAAAGTCTGTCCCAGAAGAAAGAAGGGAACTCTCTGTGTGTTTGCTTAGTTGGGCAATGGTGCCATTCAGAGCTGGCCATTGGAAAGCGTGAGACTAGCAGCCTCTTCAGAGAGAGTTCTCTCTAGCAAGGAAACCTTGCCTGTGTCCGTTTCCCGGTGAAAAGGGTTTTAAGACACAATACTGGGAGCCGCGGTGGCTCCGGCCTGTTGTCCTGGCGCTTGAGGAGGTGAGGCTATGAGTTCAAGGCCAACCTGAGCAACATAAGAAGCTCTCATTCACTAACAACAACAACAACAAAAAAGACACAATACCTACCATTACTATTTATAGGACACTCTGGTTTCTGACTTCCCTTGTCGCTGAGTCGGGAGTGGTGCCATTGAAGGGTTCTTGTTTAGCTTTGAGGGAGCTCTGAGGGCCTCTGGGCCTCTCCTGGTTTTTTTTTTTTTTTGAGACAGTCTTGCTCGGTTGCCCAGGCTGGAGTGCAATGGCGTGATCTCAGCTCATTGCAAGATGAGCTGAGTTCAAGCCACCCAGGTTCAAGTGATTTTCCTGCCTCAGCCTCCTGAGTAGCTGGGATTACAGGTGTGCACAACCACGCCCGGCTAACTTTTTGTATTTTTAGTGAAGATGAGGTTTCACCGTATGGGTCAGGCTGGTCTTGAACTCCTGACCTCAGGTAATCCGCCCACCTTGGCCTCCAAAAGTGCTGGGATTACAATTGTGAGCCACCATACCTGGCCCAAAAGTGGTTTTAATTTTAAAAATTTGGGTTGGGTGCGGTTGCTCACACCTGCAATGCCGGCAGTGTGGGAAGCTAAGGTGGGAGGATTTCTTGAGGCCAGGGTTGAGACCAGTGTGAGCAACAAATCGAGACATATATTTTTTTTAAATTAGCCAGGGCATGGTGGTAGGTGCTTGTAGTCGCAGCTACTCAGGACGCTGAGGTGGGAGGAGGGCTTGAACCCAGAAGTTTGAGGCCACAGTATTCCACAATTGCACCACTACATTCCAGCCTAGTGACAGAGCAAGACCTTGTCCCAAAAATAAGAGTAAAAATTCAGTATTTCAGAAACATGAATTGTAGACTAAACGTCTATAAGCCTGCCAGGCACGGTGGCTCATGCCTGTAATGTCAGCACTTTGAGAGGCTAAGGAGGGCCGACCACCTGAAGTCAGGAGTTCGAGACCAGCCTGGCCAACATGGGGAAACCCTGTCTCTATTAAAAGTACAAAAAAATTAGTGTGGTGTGGTGGCACATAATCCCAGCTACTTGGAAGATTGAGGCAGGAGAATTGCTTGAATCTAGGAGGTGGCGGAGGTTGCAGTGAGCCAAGACCACGCCATTGCACTCCAGTCTGGGCAACAAGAGCAAAACTCTGTCTTAAAAAAAAAAAAATTCTATAAGCCTGTCTTTATCAGTTTGGAATATATTTCTTCAATTTTTAAAAGATCTGCATATACCAATGTTATTCTTTTCTTAAAAAAAAGAGCCATAACTTGCCTTTTCTCTTAATGTATCTTTTATTTCTTTTGCTGTCATTACTTCGAGGTCTGCCTTATTATTAAGCAGTTCTGTGTTATTCTGTAATATAGATGTATCATCATTTATTCAACCGGTTTCCTACTAATGGACTCTTGGCGTGGTTTCCAATTTTTTCGATTTGTGTGAATGCTGCTGAAGTGAACATCCCTGTGCCTGTATTTCTGTAAAATAAGTTCCTGGAAGAGGAAGTGCTGGGCCACAGGATTAGCATATTTAAAATTTTAATATGTACTGTTAAATGGTCTTGTAAAAGGTTACCTGGCTTGGCACTGTGGCTCATGCCTGTAATCCCAGCACTTTGGGAGGCCGAGGTGGGCAGATCACCTGAGGTCAGGAGTTGGAGACCAGCCTGGCCAACAGGGTGAAACCCTATCTCTACTAAAAATACAAAAAATAGTTGGGTGTGGTGGCGCGTGCCTGTAATCTCAGCTACTTGGGAGGCTGAGGCAGGAGAATTGCTTGAACCTGGGAGGTGGAGGCTGTAGTGAGCCGAGATCGTGCCACTGCACTCCAGCCTGGGTGACAAGAGTGAGACTGTCTGAAATAACAAAGCCTGCCTGCCACCACAAGCCCACCAGCTTGCATGCGAATGCCTTTTTCTCCATGTCCTTTCCAGTCCATTCCATTCATCTTCTAAACATTAGCCACTCTGATCTGGTAAAAAATGATATACCATGATTTTAAAAGTATCTTTCATTAGTAAGACAGATCATCTTTTCTCTGCTTTTTTGGTAATTTGCATTTCTTCTGTGAATTGCTTCTTTGTGTCATTTGTCTGTTTTTCTACAGTGCTCTTGATTTTATTATTATTATTATTTAGTGACTTGTAAGAGCTCTTTCAAATACCAAGAAACTAGTGTTCTTTCTGAGTGAGCAAGAGATCTTTCCCTGGGCTCTTCAGGTCTCTACATGGTCCATGAATCGGTTTCAGGAGGGCTGTGCACACCCATGGAATTCCATGCCAACACACCGCATGTAGGTGCCGCTCAGCTGCATCTTTCTGGAGGGGAGGGTTCATTAGGTTCACTGGCCTCTGGCAGGTCTGTGTAAAGGCTAAAAACCACTGCTGTAGCCGGGCATGGGGGCTCACACCTGTCATCCCAGCACTTTGGGAGGCCGAGGCGGGTGGATCACCCGAGGTCAGGAGTTTTTTGTTTTGTTTTGGAGATGAAGTTTCATTCTTGTCCACACTGGAGTACAGTGGTGCAATCTCAGCTCACCTGTGCCTCCTGGGTTCAAGCGATTGTCCTGCCTCAGCCTCCTGAGTAGCTGGGACTACAGGTGCCCGTCAGCACAACCAGCTAATTTTGTATTTTCAGTAGAGACAGAGTTTCTCCATGTTGGTCAGGCTGGTTTCAAACTCCCGACCTCAGGTGATCCGCCTGCCTCGGTCCCAAAGTGCTGGGATTATAGGCATGAGCCACCACTCTTGGCGAGGCCAGGAGTTTGAGACCACCCTGGCCAACATGGTGAAACCCCATCTGTACTAAACATACAAACATTAGCCTGGGATGGTGGCGGGTGTCTCTAATCCCAGCTACTCGGGAGGTTGAGGTGGGAGAATTGCTTGAACCCGGGAGGCAGAGGTTCCAGTGAGCTGAGGTCATGCCGCCGCACTCCAGCCTGGATGGCAGAGGGAGACTCAGTCTCAAAAAACCCAGAAACCACTGTAGCAAGAGCGTTTCTGTTCACTCTTTGCTCTGTCACTAGAGGCAGAAAGCTGCCCAGATTAGATAATGACCAGGCAAGA